CAAGTCGGTGGAGGTGAGTGTGACTGGCCGGTGGTCTGTGGAGGGTCTGGACTTAATAGCCATCTCCTTGTTGTCCCGGTTGAAGCGAGCATAGAAGTCATTTAGCTCATTGAGGAAGAGACATCTGTGGTTGTTGGGGTGGGGTTGCCACACTTGTAGTCAGTAACCTGGATGCCCTTCCACATACATCGGGGGTCAAAGTTTGTGAAGTGTTCCTCAACCTTTAGCTTGTAGCAGCACTTGGCCTTCTTGATGATCCTCCTTAGGTTGGCCCTGGATAAGCTGTCCAGCACAGAGGAAGTATAGGTGTCGATGTCTGTATGAGAGGCAGGAGGCAAACATACAATCCGTGTGGTGAAACCTGTCCTGTAGTACAGAGTCTGTCCCCTCTGACCACACTTTGATGATCCTCATTGATGGCTTCACACAGCAGATGAGTGGTGAGTACTTGGGAATGAGAAACAAAGAAAGGTGACTGTCCCAAGTGGGGGCGGGGGGTCGCCTTGTATGCAGCAGCCATGTCAATTCACTATATGTGCAGGACATACAGAAAAATCAAAATACTGTTTCTCTCTCACCTAATGTTGAATGCCCATACTATTTAAGAAACTAAAATAGAATAAAAGTAGAATAAACATAGAATAAATAGAATATGAAAACCGAATTCAAGTAATAAGGATAAACTAAATGGTACAACCTAACAAGAAGATTGTCAGGTGGTCAGCATCACCAGGGGCATTGGTGATGAGATGCATAATAGTTTATGAAATGTACATGGACATCAGTGCAAATGAGCAACAGCAGCAGATACATATGACAAAAAAAACAGTCAGCAGCAGATTCACACATAATATGACAAAAAGGGGGAATGTATTGAGTGTATATATTATGGAAACAGCAGGGGTAGTGTTTTTGTCTTTAATGTTCTGTGGCGGGTTATGGTCTGGGGGGGTAGTGAAGAGCCTGGTGGATGAAGCTGTTTCTAAGCCTGGTGGAGTGGGCCTGAAGACTCCGATACCTTCTCCCTGAAGGCAGGATTCTGAGGTGGGAGTGTGCGGGGTGGGAGGTGTCATCAGCAATGCCGATGGCTCTGCAGGTAAAGCAGGTGTTGAAGATGCCCGTAAGGGAAGGCAGAGGGGAGCTGATGATCTTGCTGGCTGTTTTCACTATGTGTTGCAGGGTCCTTCTGCAGGAAGCAGTACAGGCTCCGTACCACACAGTGATGCAGCCAGTGATGACGCTCTCAGTGGCGCCCCGGTAGAAGGAGAGCATGATGGGGGTGGGGGCACTGGCTCTCCCTAGTTTGCAGAGGAAGTAGAGACGTGTTTGAGCTTTCTTGGCCAGTGATGTGGTGTTGTTGATCCAGGAGAGGTCCTCAGAGATGTGCACCCCTAGGAACTTGGCACTGCTCACTCTCTCCACTACAGCAGCATCAATGATCAGTCGGGGATGCTTTAGAGGTTTCGGGAGGCAGACACTCTCTCTACCTTTAAGACTAGACTTAAGACCTTCCTTTCTGATAAAGCTTATACTTAGGGCTGGCTCAGGTGACCCTGAGCATTCCCTTATTTATGCTGCTATAGGACTAGGCTGCTGGGGGGCCTCATGGTGCTCTGAGTCGCCAAGTGCTCCCTCAAGGGGGATGTGTTGGGTTTTCCTCTATAATAATAGTGATAATAGTAAGGTCTAGACCTTACTTTGTAAAGTGTCCTGACATGACTTTTGTTGTGGTTTGCTGACAGGAGTTTATAATCAGGGATTACTTCATGTACCTGCACCTGGCTGTTTGTTTTCAGTTTGCATTGTACACTCAATGCTTACTGTTGCACATACAGTACAGCTGGTGCAGCATACATTCTTATTATATTTTAACATATTTTTCACATGCTGTATTTAAAATTGCTTTTATTTTGTATTATTTATCTATTTTATATTTAGACTTTATATTGTTTTGTTATATTGTTTGTATTCGTTGTGGAAAGCAAAGGAAGAATTTCATTGTACAGGGAAACATGTTTCCTTACTGTGCATATGACAATAAACACTTTTGATTTTGATTTGATTAGATTTATACATCATTACTCATATTTAATATTTTGCTTATTAGTTTTAATTGTTTTATTGCAGTGAATGAGCTCTTGTATTAGAATCTGTATCAGGAATCGGATCAGAACTGAAAAAATGTGGATCGGTCCATCACTATGTATGAGTACTACGTCCTCCTGTCCTCGAGAGTTTGGACTTCAAGTTCGGATTTACTACTGCAATGACCTACTGCAATTGTAAAGAAGGTGTACATTGAGAAATGGAGCAAAGTACATGCAATATGTAATATGGTGTATATGTCACATCTGTCTAGCTGAGAACCTGGCAACAATGAACAAGTGTATTAGGAGGCATGATAGAAAATGACTAAAGTGCAGCCAATAGTGAGTCTGTGCATTTATGAAGGACTCTATGTACACATTGTTATGTTGGTCTGCACGGGACAGTTATTTAGCTGTTTGTGGCATTTAGTAATTTCTCACATTTATTGTTTTTCTTGAATAACCTTCAAACTAATAATGATATCAGCATCATTCCAAATGCCACCAGTAGATTTTTATGGTCAAGCTAGTATATTATAAGAGTTATATTATCATGGGAATATTGCTTTTAGGTGGAATGGCATTATGAGGACACTCAGTTGCCTTGGCAGAGATTTACACCCTCTGACTGCTGTGTAGTTTGACCACTTTGTTATTTGCTCATCTCCGATCCATGCCCCCAGATCTTAAAAGCTGTAAAACATCTTAATAAGTGAGCTCATACAGAAACAGCAAGGCAGTGTACTTACGGAATGCCAATTTCAAATACGTTGTTCTGAATTAGCTGTTTCCCCAGCATGATGATGCTGAGCTGAATGCATAATTCAATGAGGCAGCCTCCTGGAGCACACTGAGGGAGACACACACTCCATTGGTGCACTTATTCATGATCAGTTAATGTTTTAAATATGTAGCCAAATATAAAGAGTCACAGAAAAATAGACAAACCTCTTCCATCCGGTAGTGGTTAAAAACATATGTATACATTCCAGGTCGACCTGCAAACCTGTGGAAACACATAGGTTGCATATAGAATCAGGGGTTTCACTTGGATTCACCAAAATTGATTCTTATTGATAGTAATGTTGCTTTCTTTAAGGGCTGTAAATAGCTGTCTTATGGCAAAACATAATTCAAGTGAATACAAGCTGTAAATGGAGCCATACATGTGCATATTGCCAATGTCCCTAGAAAACCATGTACATGTATAACAAAATTTGATTTGATTTCAAAATTTTCAGATAAACTGAAGGTTTGAAATGTTTTTCACTCTTAGATAAAATAAACCATTTAAATCTAATGGGTTACCTGGAAAATGCATTGCCACAAAGCTGGAGACTTTTTTTTTGGCTCATGAAAAACTGATGTTTTGGGGATAATGTATTTTCACAGGACAAAGATGCATGAAAACACTACTACACACCCAGTACTTACCGTCCTTTGAAGAAAGCCACATAAAAGATGGGTGCATAAGCATTCATAAACTTGAGCAGGAAGGCTTTCAGGATGAGACGCTCCTCAAAGCTGGTTTCTGTTTTAGGAATCTCTGAAAAATAGGTAAAGTGGAACTGTAAGAAAGACTTGGCATGGCATTGTCTTACAAGTCAGAGGTCATCAATTGGGAGGGGATAAAAACAAAGCATGTTAAATGACAATTGAAGTGGGATGTAGGTACAGTATATTAGGTTGAGCTAGCATTAACATATTAGATTTAGCTGTGACTGCATTATATATCGATGGTCAGAAGTCATTTAAAACTGATTTATTTTAACCACTCCACAGATGTCATGTTAATAAACTCTCATTTTGGCAAGTTGATTAGGACGTGTACTTTATGTATGATACAACTTATTTTTCCAAACATTGTGTACAAATAGATAATTTCACTTATACATCACTATTTCACAATTCCAGTGAGTCAGAAGTTTACATACGCTCAGTTGACTGTGCCTTTAAACAGCATGGAAAATTCTGTCATGAATTTAGAAACTTCTGATAAATAATTTGATCATTTGAGTTAATAGGAGTTACACCTTTGGATGCAGTTTAAGGCCTACCTTCAAACTTAGTACCTCTTTGTTTGACATCCCCAGAAAATCAAAAGAAATCAGCTAAGATCTCAAAAAAAAAAAAAAAAAACCTCATCCATGGGAGCAATTTCCAAATGCCTGAAGGTGCCATGTTCATCTGCGCAAACAATTCACACAGGTGCAACACCATGGCACAATACAGCCATCATACCACTCAGGAAGGAGATGTGTTCTGTCTCCTAGAGATGAACATTCTTTGGTCCAAAAGTACCAATCAATCCCAGAACAGCAGCAAAGGATCTTGTTAAGACAAAGGAGGAAACAGATACCAATGTACTGTATTTATATCCACAGTAAAATAAGTCCTACATTGACATAACCTGAAAGGCTGCTCAGCAAGGAAAAAGCCACTGCTCCAAGATTGCAATAAGAAACCAGACTATGGTTTGCAGCTGCAAATAGGGACAAAGATCTTACTTTTTGGAGAAATGTTCTTTGGTCTGATGAAACAAAAATTGAACTGGCTGGCCATAATGACCATTGTTATGTCTGGAGGACAAAGGGTGAGGCTTGCAAGCCAAAGAACACCATCCCAACTGTGAAGCACGGGGGTGGCAGCATCATGCTGTGGGGGTGCTTTGCTGCAGGAGGAACTGGGGCACTTCACAGAATAAATTGCATAATAAAGAAGGAAGATTATGTCTATATATTGAAGCCGCATCTGAAGACATCAGCAAGGAAATTAAGGCTTGGTTGCAAATGGGTCTTCCAAATGGAAAATGATCCCAAGCGTACTTTCAAAGTTGTAGCAAAATGCCTTAAGGACAACAAAGTCAAGGTGGCTATCACAAAGCCCTGACCTCAATCCAAGAAAGAATTTGTGGACAGAAACGAAAAAGTGTGTGCAAGCAAGAAGGCCTATAAGTCTGACTCAGTTCCACCAGTTCTGTCAGGAGGACTGTAATAAAATTCCACCAACTTATTGTAAGGTGCTTGTGGAAGGCGTCCCAAGGTAAGCAATTTTGTCAAATCTGGTGACATTCACATTCATAAAATAAAGTAGTGATTCTACCTGGCCTAACACAGGGAATGCTTATAGGAGTAAATGTCAGGAACTGTGGAAAAACTGAGTTTAAATGTATTTGGCTAAGGTGTATGCAAGCCTTTTTTTTTTTTGCGTGTGTGTATGTAAACTTCTGACTTCAACTGTATTGTGTATTGTACTGTATTGTTAGTTTTCCACACAGTGTTTTTTCCCAAGTCTGTTCTAAATAAAGTAGTGATTCTGTCAGTCTGACTCTTGAATTGGAGTTATACCATGATCACTGTGCTAGAAGTAGGTCAGTATATTCACGTCATATTCTCGCTTTCTCTCTCTCATACACACACTTTCCCATGAACTAACATTTCTCCTTTCTATTTTTTTGCTCTATTTCAGAAGTTCTGAATTTGAATGTAAATAAAGTTGAAACCTTCTGGGAGGACTGATGGGATGGCTGGAGCATGAAAACCAAGGGACACAAAGCCTCTTTATGTCTCCCACACTCACAGATGTAGGATTATTACATAATAAAATGTCATTTTTGCTCTTTAATTTGCTGAAGCAGTATTTATCGTTTTCTTAGAAATATATTATCATACATATTGAAAATCGTCACTCAGTCAACCTCCATTTTAAATCAATATAAAAAATCACTATATTCTTCTGTTTGTGTTATGATTTAAGGTCTTGCTTCCTGTTTTGTGCTTTTATTTTGGTTACACTTCCTGTCCTGTGCCACCTCAACTGCCCCAGCTTTACTCCAGTCCACAATCACCACTCATTGTGTTCACATGTCCTTCATTATCCTCTGGTCTCTTGTGTATATATTCTCCTCCTTTCCCTCAGCCTCTTGCTGGTTCATTGTGCTTGCTATCTCTGTTCTTCACACTCTGCCCTTTCATCTGCTTGCTATGTCCACTCACCACACCCTGCCAGCTGGTGTCCTCCTGTAAGTTCTGTATCCTGCCCTTGATACCTTCAGACTGTTTCTCTTTGAGTTTTTAATTTCCTGGTCATTAAGGATTGCTGGTTTGTTTTCTTCCGTTTTGTTTGAGTTAATTTATCCTAGCTCCCTGACTGAACTGTTTTGTTGTTGGCCTTAGTCAGTATTTTGTTAGTGTGTAAGGTTGAGCCCTTGTATTTTTTTCCCTTTAGGCTCTTGTCCTGTATTATTTATTAAAACTCATTTTGAACCTGCTCTTGGCTTGTGCGTTCTGCACATAGGGTCCTACTCCAGTAAATCATAACAGAATGAACCAGCCAAAAATGGACCCCGCGGACACACCCGGCGAGGTTTCTGTCCTGTGGCGATGGATCAGTATTCTATGTCACAACCTCAACACCATCCAGCACTCGATAGAGTCCGGTTCTGTGCCAACATGGAGGCAATAATCCGGAGCTGCTTTATCATTGCACAAATTTAAAACAATGATCTATAACAACTATAACATTCCTGTAGAATAAAAATTAGTCAAAATACAGAGAGAGTAAGATTACAAAAAATTAAATCAGCAAGGCCTGTAGGCCCTGTATAGCATCGCTGCTAAATTTTAGATGCCAAAAGCCAGTCTGAATAAATGTGTCTTTAATTTAGACTTAAAAACCATTAACTCCGTTATGGATCAAACCTCACGGGGCGGGGCATTCCAGAGCTTGGGGGCATACAAGGCGAAAGAACGATCTCCCCACTTTTTATACCTTGCCCGCGGGACACAGAGACACATGCTCAGAGGAGCGCAGTGCTCTGACCAGAGTATAAATGGTTAAAAGATCGGTCAAATAGACTGGTGCAAGACCATTAATGATGACCTTGAACAAAAACAGTAAAATTTTAAAATCTATTCTGAACTGTACCGGAAGCCAGTGAAGGGACTGAAGAACCGGGGTGATGTGAGCATTCTTTGGAGTGTTTGACAGCCGCGAGCAGCCACGTTCTGTACGAGTTGGAGCCTATGGAGTTGAGACTGACTAATTTCAATATAAAGGGCATTACAGTAGTCAAGTCGTGAGCTAATAAAGGCATGAATGGCTTTTTTCTAGGTCGGCTCGAGATAAAAACGGTTTCACCTTTGCTAGGAGCCTCAGCTGAAAGAAGCTTATTTTGACCACCGAACTAATCTGCTTGTCAAATTTGAGGCTGCTAACAAATAACACTCCCAGGTTTTTCACAGTTTGAGTGAAAAGCGGGGCCGAGGCTCCTAGGCCGAGTACAGTGTGAGTGGGGTCCGGGCTAAAAGTGATATATTCAGTCTTCCCCTCATTCAAATGAAGGAAGTTCTGTGCAAGCCACTCAAGTCCTTGGAGTTTGGTGGGCGATAAACCACAACACAAAGGATGGGACAGTGCAAAGTTAGTACAAAGGCTCGAAGCTCAAAGCTCATGTATAATTTAGTGGAGAGGAGGCAACATTTTAAGGTCTGCTTAAAGGCAGAAGCCAAACCACCACCTTTACCTACTAGATGTGGAGTGCTGAAAAACGAATATCCAGCAGGGAGGAGCTCAGAAAATTCACTATTGTCGCCAGGTGTCAACCAGGTCTCAGTTAAAAAAAGCAAATCCAGATCATGAAAGGAAATGAAATCATTGAGGACAAAGGTCTTGTTTTTAAGTGATCTGGTGTTGAACAGTGCTATGTTGAGCGAGCTTAACGTGTCTTGTAATAAAGTGGCATGAACCACTGGGCGAAGGTTGCCTGGGACTGAGTGCCGCCCGGAGATCCTCACAAGCCAGCCATGTGGAAGTGGGAAGCCGGCATTGGAGCCAAGTGGTCGGTGTTAGGTATTTTTAGGCAGATAGATATTGGTTAGATACTTGATGTATTAGAAATGTTTAGAGTAGACAGGATGTTTAGCTCAGGCTGTTAAATGTTTAGTCATTCTCATGAGTTGCTGCAGGTTGCTTATGGTCAAGGATGACTAGATGACTAGTTGATGACTGTTAGAAGACAGGATGTTTAATATTATTATTATGGCGTGTATAACTGTAGCCATAGCCATAATATTTTCTTATGTTTAATGTCATGGCATGTCACTAGAGGTTGTGTAAGAATGTTTTTAGTTACACACCACATAATCAACAGACAATCACACATTGATTTTCTTCATGCTTTGACTACTGCTCTGGCCAGCAGCAAAGCTGGCACTGGGAGACGTCACGGTTTGGCGTCTCCCTGAGTAGAATGGGGTTAGCCCGAAGTGATATAATATATAGGCCTGTTATGGTTCAGGGCTTTTCATCTTTCAGCTGCATGTTGGAGGTGCAAAGACTCCTGAGCGTGTAATGTTAATTTTTACCTGTGTTCATTGAATAAATCAGCATGTTTTGAAGTTACTTGGACTGCTTCGTCTCTCAGAGTTAGCGTGGTGAAAAGTACAGGGTCCAACAATTGGTGCCGTGACCTCGAGGGCCAGCTCAACCTGTAGATCGATGTTTCCCCGCTCTACTAGACGTCCAGTCCACAGTGAAAATTCCAGG